AGACGACTGGTTCTCGGGCTTTTTCTCAGTCGCTGTTTGTGGTGGAGAATGTATTGAATTATTTCATCTCCTGACCGGATTGCCTGATTCCTCTCTTGGTATAAGTTCTTAATCATATCTAACTGGCATTTTCAGGATCTGGGCCTCGAATCCCGGTGAAGGCACAGTTGATCTTTCACATTTTCTGGCTTCAAAAAATGTAATGGTCTCTGTATATGTATGTTTCCTGTTCCATTAAAGCTTCTATTTAAATTGCAAATATTAGTTCTTTGAAAATGAAACGATTTGCAAAATTTCATTTAGGAGATTTGAGGCTACAAATTGAACCTTACGGCCAACTTTCATTTCCGTTGACTCAAATAAATTGAAGGATTTAATCGCGTCATATCCACAACAAACTGTGCGAAACATTGCTCAGATACTGAGTTCATGCATTACGTATTTCTCGGCATTTTGGAGTGATTCGAAAATTAAGGAAGCTAGACAAACTGTCGTCCCACGTATTCGTGGATGAAAACAAATCACGGCATTAAGAAGCCCGGTTCTTTACTCTTAAGAACCAAAAGAGAAATGTTCTGGAAAGGAATACTGAGGATGAGAAGTGAATATTATTCTTTGACAATGGTATACATTTGTCAGTGAGAGTCACTGGGATGAGGAGTGAAGACACTCCAGGAAGGACTGGGAAGACGCCTCTGCAGCCAATGAAGATGTTTACTTGTATGATGGTATGTTGCTAATGTTATTAACTATAGTTCCACATGCAACCCTGGCTGGCATTCTGTCAAAACACATAGACTCGTTAAAAAGAGGCGTTATTATTTACTGAGACGTGAAAGGTCACGTCAAATGTTTCTCTTCTCCGGAAAGAGAGAATTTATATAATGAAGGGAAAGAAAATACCCATCCTTCCACCCTGTTTTGATAATCCATCCTTCCCTGTTTTGATAATCCATCCTTCCCTGTTTTGATAATCCATCCTTCAACCCTGTTTTGATAATAATTCGGCCCGTATGCGTGTTTGCGGTTATTGTTGCGGATGAGGCGGTTGAACAACACACAGTTTGTTTTTTTCATGAGGTGAAAACATAAATGCAGTTGATATTTTACAGATATGCAAACAAATCATTCCTTAAGCAATCAGCATTTGTGAATAGACATGGAGTCCTTTTGCTTCAAATAAAGTCTGATCATACAGGTACAAGTGCGCGGAACACCTGAATTCCACCATTGGTAATACAGCTACAATCCGGCCACATTAACTCTGCAGCCTCGCAACATTTTGATAGAAAACACGCAGGGGAAAAGTCCGAGGGTTACCTCTTTTCTTCTCACCTGTTTTAACCTGTACCCACAGTATTCAGTTGGGCAGTGTTTACCCTTATAAATATCCATGTCATGTCAGGCATTTGAGCTCGGGCTCATTGGTACTGTAGGCAGGTTCGCTTACCACTATACTGATCAGGGCGTTACCTAACGATACAGGAAATCAACAGTTTTTAATATGAAATTGTGCCTTATTTTCCGCACTCTCCTGACATTTCTCCAAGAAATGACCATTTATTCCAGTACTTTGATTGTTTCTGCAAAGAAATATTTTGTCAATGATGCATTAATTTATTGGGCAGCATAGGGCTTCACCACTTCGAGATGTACTGGTTTTTACAAATGTTGTAGACGTAATCTTGCTATGCGTAGAGAATAAATCATACATTGACGCTGCTGAAAATTGCTTTAAATAAACAATTATTGTTATTATTTTTAATATATTTGTTTCCAGTCATCTTTAAAATTATCCATTTCTTTTGCAACAATCGAATACTACAGGAAAATATCCTGTAACATATATGTCGCATGTTGCAATTTGGAACATTCATATCTACCCTGCCAAATTATTTCATTAACGAATTAATCTGAATTACACATTCATAAATCAGATATTATTCATCTGAATTGCACATTCATAAATCAGATATTATTCATCTGAATTGTACATTCATAAATCAGATATTATTCATCTGAATTGCACATTCATAAATGAGATATTAATAATTTAGTTACATAACTGCCAAATATTAATTTTCAATTTTTGCAGTCTCCGAGTTCAAAATAAGTAAGTAAATAAATAAAAAAATAATCAGAACTGCCAACAGAACTTTCTGTATCGATAAATAGTAAAAAGCAGTACACAAGTTCGCAAAAGGAATAGGACATTTTTAGTTTTCGAATTTAATGTCAAAAATGTTTAATACATTAAACTGGCATTATTAAATGTGATTTGCCTTTGAAATATACCCTTATCTGCCCTTCATTTTACATTAAACATTTTTGAGAAAAATTTTGAGCTAAAAAATTAGTTAATTCCTCTTGAGCAAAAAATGGATCACATTACAAAAGGGATGCTTATTGTTCCATTAAGTTAAATGAACAGATCAAAATATTTTACTCAATTTATCAAAATATTTTACTTATCAAAGTGTTTGCAATCGTATCTTATAAAATATGATATGGATTTTTGTGGTATAGATTCATTAAGTCGTTCTAATATTTAAGGTTTAAATCTTCTTCACTCAACTTGTATCGCTGATTTCAGTTTATTGTTTCAGAGAACACTTTCCTTGGAATTATTTATATTTCATTTCTTATCACATATGTTTAACATGGTTTTAATTTAAACACTGAATATTGAGTATTTTAAGTCACTTAAACAACAGACGGAGGTCTTATACTCATGTCAGTATGTTAGAATCATTTATATTGATAGAACTTGTAATTATTTTAAATGTAGGTTTATATATTGACAACTTAAAAACTCATTACTAAACATCGAAAAGTTCATATTCATCCATTATATTAACAATGAACCTAAGATAATAGATTTAGTGGGCATCTTGTATATTTTATTTCTTTCTCCTCCACATTTTACCGTTAGAACTTAACTGGATTTCTGAAATTTTACTTTGGGCCTTTTATTTGACTCTCTTTCTCAAATAGGCCGCAAACATTTTCTGTCCTATCACACTAGCACAGAAGTTTTGATTTGCCACACGCTCACAAGAAGACTCTCAAAGAATAAGTGGAATTATTTTAAGCAATAATGTATTATATATTTCCATAGTCTAGTCTTCTTTAAAATATTTTCACCAACATATATACACTTTTCACAAACGTTTGCTCGCTGCTGGAAAAATAGAAACAGTTGTGGTGGAACTCTTGATGCGAAAGATTATTAAGGACAAGGAAACGTATTTTTTTGTACTTTATCTCTATCACTGAATTGCTGTTCTTATTCCCTAAAATATTTTTAAGAATTTCATTATCTGTGGAAATAGAAAAAGTTGCACTAAAAAAAGTCCTTCATAGAATAGCATGAGTGAAACACAAGCATCATGTTGCATCTCTCGAAGTATTGTCGGACGTACATAATTTCTTCAGAAAATTGGTGCAATGTGTTCCTTATTTTTTCTCGGCAGTAGATATCCAGTGAGTAGAAAGAAGATTTGAAGAATAGTATGAGTAAAAAACACGAATTCTGTAGATATTTTCCATGCAATATTGGAAGTACAGTTTCTTCAGAAGTTTGGTAAACAGTCTTTCAAAAATCGTTATTAGTATTCTGTAGACTTTTTTTCAATTTTGTTTCTATTTCTGCACTCAAATGGATAGCTACTAAGTAAACAGATTAGGAAAATAGCATGTGTGGGACACAAGTGCAATGTTGTTCTTCCACAAGTACTGTCGGCCGTACAAAGCTGCTTCAGAAATCTGAAGAATGGTCTTTCGATAATCTTTGTTAGTAATCTGTAACATTTTGTGAATGTGTTTCCGAACCGCTTTTTAAATTGATGTCAGTTCTCAACATGCTAGCAAGGTTAGCCATACTTACGAACTGTCCACTTGCAGTATTGTCATTACGACTACTTTTGGGGGTACTCTTATGGTGCAGATTAATATTTTAGCAATTCTGAAATTAACAGATATTTCAAACGATGTTTCGATTATTTTGATACTTCCGATATTATTACATTATGCTTAAATACGACTACTTTGGTTACCTCCCAAACATGCTTTTACTTTTATATGCTTTGAATAACATTTATTTATATTAAAGCTGTAACAGAGTTTAAAGCATTTAAGCAGCTTTTCTAATGTGTTTGGTTTTTGTAGTGTCAAATAAAATTAATTCATAAATTTTAATTGCTTACAATTCTTTAAAGCAGCTATGGTTTAAAAATCTTAAAAAACTTATACAATTTCTAATAAAGTTTTGTTGAAGAAGTACAAGAGACACTTCTGTAGGTTTAGCCTTCTTATTTCGATGCAAAATGATGTGAAAAACTGGCCCACTTTACTTATTGCTGGTTTTATTTGAAATTTCAATAACAGCCGAAAACGTTTGTGACAGGAGTTTCTCTTTCCAAAGAGAAGATACAACTGAAGCTCCGTAAATGGAACTCCACGTTAGTGAATGCTATTCATTAACGGATCACGATACCCTCGAATAAGAGATAATGTATTTTCATTTAGTAAATGCTTCCTAAAATTCCTCGTCCTGTTAACACCCGCTAACGATAGGTTCAAATATTTATTTTTAAATACAAAGTTTTATATCTGAAAAAAACATATTGTAAAACGAAAGAGTGGGTAAATGCATACTTCAGAGGATACAAGTTATGTAATTTCACTTTCATGTCACTTTAATTTTCATTGACTTTCATGGACTTTAACTTTCAGAAACTTCTATAAGGTATCTGATAACTTGTGTTAAACACTTTATATCATCACAAGAGAAACCCACATTAATAATGATTTCTACTAAAATACGTACGATACTCATAAATAAATGAATTCAGAACATATTTGAATGGTAATAAATTTAAATATTTTCATTATAAATAATGTTCTAATATGAATAAACAGTTAAGGTTATATTTTCAAATTATCGTTTATTTCAAAGATAATTTTATGACTAATAATATATTTCTTATATTTCTTTCCAGACGCATCGATGTGAAAGAATCGAAAAAAGAATAAAAATTAATCGTCTGCGAAGAAATATCGAAGTGCTCTTCTAGCGTGTCTTCACTCTAGTGAAAACAACCATTCGATGTTGCTGAAATATATTTCACTTCCTAAATAAGTTTGAAACTACCACCAAAAAATAAAAGTTTCGAATCATTAGTGCAGTCAATGGACCGTTAACTAAAAACACTCAATAAGATCGCTACATCCAGCGCCATCTGTCGAGTAACGCGGTAGTGAATTTTGCAAGCTGACTCGGCTGCATGACGTTATTGATTGACGAATCGTGCTCAAGTACTTACGATGCTCTGTGCTTAGGAGATAAGAATTCGTTTAATATCACAGATTCTAAGGTACTCGAAGTCTGTGAGATATTTAAATGAACTCACTAAGCATCAGGTAACTGCGTATTTATATGCATGGACGGAAAACTTTTCTTTTAAGTATCTCATTGAAGAAAGCCAGGTCAATTTAAGGAACAGGAAATTTATCTCATAAAATGTATTAAAATTGTTTTCGTTTTTTACTTCCTTCATTAAAAGGCTATTTATATGCTTCTTTTATAAAATGAGGTGCATAAGTTATTGTAGGAATGTACGTTAAGTTTAACAAATTATTAATTATAACTATCATCTAAATATTTTCGTATATTGTGGGATGAAGATATTCTTTGAAGTATTTCGACACACCTACTTAAAAAAGAAGTCTCTTTTCCCAATATTAACGCTGTTAAATTTCATAGATATAATGTGATGTGTTAAAGAATTATTTTTAATATCGAAGCTTTGAATTTAAGTTCTATTTTTGACTCTTGAGCATCATTTTGAATTATTTAACTTTAGAGAAGTTTCTTTTTAATAATCGAACATTTATTTGCAAACAGATCTTAAAAATATATATGCATTTCTAAAACTGCAATTAAAACAGAAAAATAAAATAAATATGTATATATAAATAAAATTTTTTTAAATTAAATTTTGAATTTGTTAAAGATAATAATTCTTCGTGTAACATGTATGAAGTTTTTAAAGAATTTCGTTTTTTGTCTATGCTTAAAATCGCCATCTTTATTTTATCCAAAAATTTATTAGTTTTCGCTAATTCATGTGCTTAAGTAAAAAAAAAAATATCTAAATCGCAACACTTTTGAAAATATTACACGCGTTTCCAAATATTTGAGAGGGAGTACGTAAATTAAATTACTCAATATAACCACATTAAATTACTATTTGCTTATAAAATTATTTCTAGAACTTCGGTTTTTAAAAATGAACAAGCTTTGCAGTAAAAAATCAAAATAGAACTATTTTAAAGCAATAATAAAGAGTATTGATAAAAGATGCAAGTTAATTTAAATTAACAGAAGTGTAGTTAAAATATTCTTAAGTTTTCAATTCTTTAAAAGAAGAAAGAATTGTATTGTTTATCATACAATTAAGATAAAATAGAAAGAATTGTATTGTTTATCATACAATTAAGATAAAATACAAGCATTTACTTCTAGAAAAAGAAAAAAATTAAAATTGTGCATATGTAAGGCAAATATCTTAAAATGCATAAGGTTGTTAATCGCAGCATCTGGTAAAACGTATTAATATATACGCTCATATTCAGTTCAGCTCCAATTAAATTCAAACCAACGAATATCTCCAGCGAATAATTCACCATGTATTGATCATTTTAAATCTTAAAATGCAGCCTAAGGTAACTTAGAAATGCATAACATTATATACTGCATTTATCCATCACGCAAATATTGATATTCTCCCTCATAAATTTCAGGCCACTATCTCTCCTGCCTGCAATGAACTGAAATGAAATTATATGAATAACTGAAATTCTATTCAGAGAACAACGTGAAGAGCTATAAACTGAAACTTCGAAGGCTTCAGGCGCAATCACGACTACTGTGGCAGCTAGAATGAACATTACTGAGGCCTTTATGTGTACTCATACTATACATGGTGGTGGATTGTTTGAATGAAAATGTTTTCCATGAATGAAAAGGTCGAGTACAGGAAAATGGACTCTGCATGAATGCACTGCTAGATACAAATTAGAGATCTCTAATAACTGTTATAAACGTCAAATTCTGTATATCTGTCTAGTATTATCTACGTAACGAATATGTGAATTGGACACAAGTAGCACAAGTTCGCAAAGCACTTCAGAATAGATTATTAACATATTTTATACTATTTTAGGATTACGTTGCTAAAATATTTGTATTCTGCGCTGGAAATTTTACATTTGAATTATATTCATTTCAGCTAACGTAAATGAATAGCTTGAGGAATGAAATATTTCATATAGGATTCTCTATATATTTTTAATCAATTTATTAGGAATATACAAAAATTTCCATTGAAAGATATTATAACGAAAGGTATTGTTTTTTCATGGCAAATACCTGAACATTAGGCGCTGTAACGGTACAAATTTGTAAACGAATGAAATTGATTTGAAAATTATTCGAAATTCAAATTTATTTGTGAAATTAATATAAATAAGAGATAAAATATAAATAGACACGATTCATCGAAAATAAATGACTTTTTTTATCAAAATAAATGACTTTTTTAGTCATTTAGATTGCTTTTTGAAATAACTGAACAATATAAAAGATTCAAAATCTACGTGCATTACAATCCAAGTATATCTAACCATAAATTCAACATACAGGTTTGCATATTTTAATTCATGTATTATTAACCGTTATTAAAAGATTTTTCCCTGGATATGTATCCCCTCTTTTTAGGTTATTAATTGTTAGCTTAAGGCTTCTTTCATTCAATTTAATTTAAATTTACATAAATTTACAATAAATACATATTTAGAATGTAAGGCGATATAAACATACTAATTTTTCATGCTTTATTCAGGCAAATCTTATTGAGAGTAAAATTCACCATGAATAAAAGGAATTAGCATTTGCGAAAGAATAAGTATTATTTCAAGACAGATATTTTTAACACTCTTATAAGGAAAACTGGTATAACGTGCTATTATTATACTGAAGTAGGCTTCCTTTAATTTTATGGAAGATATTCCCATTTAATGAATAATTATTCTTTGCTAATCGGTCCATTCATTGACTTAAAGATGAAAATATTAAAGCAGTTATGGAGTAATTTCACAAAAAAAGAGTACAACGTTGAATCGTAATTTCAATATTCATTAATTTTTAATAACATACCAATACACTTTTAAAACATTTCATCGCTGAGGTATATAATTAAAGACAAAGCTTTCTTAATTTTTTAAATTAACAATTTCATATTTAATAATTTCAGTAAAATATCAAATTTTGAATAATAAAACGTTATTGAAATACATTCTAAATTGTTTTATTTTAAACCTCAATACAAGTTTCAAAATAAGATATGATCCTTATATGAAAATTACTTTATTTGAAATATAACATATTGTAATTGTATATGACTAATTATAAATTTTAAAAGACAAAAATTAAACTGAGTTTTATCAAAAAAAAAAAATGTTAAAAGCATCATACAAAACAGTGATTCCAATAATCAGAATGCAACGCTATGCTTTAAAATACGCAGAAAGCAAATAATCCTCAACTAGATATTCATTCTGAAGTTGATCGAAGCATTAATCCATGATTTGTGTGCTGCAAAGAAGGCTATTTTGAATAAGAATGTAATAAAGAAAAATTTGACAGCACTTATATTATATCTGATCAATAAAAAAGTTATCTAAGTCTAATTCAAGGAGGAAATCTAAGATTCGGTATCACCAGATTGTTAATGTGGAGATTATCTCAAGATTTCATGTAGCTTCGGAATTCGTCCCCCTTATATGATTCGGGGTCATTTGGATGGATGTCACGGTACTCGATAACGATTAAGTTCATCTTCATCGTGATTGGGCTGATCGAGTCTGTCAACCTGAGAGATGGAGGAGTCGACAGTGCTCGCTGTGGGACTGGGGAGTGGAGCTGTATGGGAATGGAGCATGGCTTGATGTGTATCCCTCTCAACAAATTCTGCGACGGAGTCAGCAATTGCCCGGATGGATCTGATGAGCCTCCTGGGTGTACTAGTGAGTACTGATTCATTTCGATACATGTTTAACCACTAATTTTGATTATATTTCAGAAAATAATTTTAGTTTAATTTTACTTCCTTGTACGAATTACAAAGGAAGTATTGTAATTGCAAAAAGTTTCAGGCAGCATATTTCAACGAAAATATTCATTTTGACCGCTATCGAATGCAATTTAACGATGGTTTTGCGTGACATCTGTACGTAAGGAGAGAATAAAATACTTTTCTTCCAAAAAAATTATAAAACTACTTTAAGATGAATTCTGAAGAGAATTTTTCGTGGCATCTGTACTTACGTACGTATCTACTGCTATGCATAGCATTAATTTTTACTAATTTCCAGATTTTTTTATGCTTAAGTTCCTTTCTTGTTTTTCTCGTAAACTTTATTTGTTAGAAGATAAAAATTGTAATTACTTCTTTTTATACTGGCAAATCATAAACAGAAAATTTACTTAAAATTTTTATAGTCAGAAAACGCATGCATGCGATGATTTGTTTGGTCTTTATTTTTTACCACGATATTTTGTATGATGATGTTTTAAAATTCGAAATTTTTCGCCTCATTATATTTTACCCCGATGTTTTATGTTTATCTATTTTAGAACTGTGATATTTTCTCCTTGGTTTCCTCTTCGCCCGCGATGTTTTATACTTTTTGCTACGATGTTTTCATGTGTGACCAGAGGGGGCTGTAAGGCACATGATTTTTCTGAAATCGAGTAACAATGTGTTTTGGTGTTGATGCTTGTTAAATATATGTGTAACAAAACGTGTTTTTGCATTCATGCAGTACTGTACCCTAGAGTCTTCATGTGAGGCGCTCTTCAGAAAAATAAATAAAAAATTTTTGATATATTTATTTGTTTGCAACACTGCATTTTAACGTTTTCTTCTGGGTTATATCAGTATTTAGAAGGCCTGCAAGACCGCGAAAGCGAATAACAATTAAAAATAACAGAGACCAGAAACTACGTTTATTGCTTTTAAATTGCTTAGTTTGTTAACAAAAACATACAGCTTTCATTTGATCGAAATATTAAATATTACCTAATGAGTGTAGTCAGTTTTTCCGAAAAGTTTCACTTCGCTGAATTAATTAATTCATTTCACTTTCTTGACATAATATTCAATTTGCCAAATGGTAGCGTGTGGAAAATAGAAGTAATTTATTACATGCAGCGTCAACACAGTTTTTTTAAATTGCTAAGTTTCTTTTTAAATTTAAAAGCAAAGTAAGTACCTTACGCTTTGCGAGTTGCAAAATATTTCTTTTAATTTACCGAGTTTTCGATTTAAATTGGAAATCGTAAATATCTTACGTTTTAAAAGCGCTTCGTAGCTTCTGAATCGCGGGTTTTGTTTCTCAAAATTTCTTCAATTTCGCGCAAAGGTTAAAATATATAAGAACCAAATTCAAAATTGAGAATTCAGGTTTCTAGGTACATATGTTCGAGTGAAAGACAGTGTGTGTTAAAAATGTGGTGGCTCTAAAATGCTCCGTTTTTCACAGTGCGAGTAACAGTGTGCTAGGAGGAAGAAGCACCTAGACCTGATAAGCTGCCTTAATACTGTTAGTCCCAACCTCTACAGACGATCCAAAAGACCGCTAACCTATCGGTCGAGCCGATGAGCCAAGACTAATCAGAGGCAACAGTCATACTCAGCAACTCACATTGCATGTCCCAGTCCTGGAGGAAATGTAAAAACATCTGACATTAACAGGGGCCCAAACATCTGGCAACAGAACAAAGTCACTTGAACACTGTTAGACAGACCGGGCCATCAATCCGTCAAGATAGATTCAAGAAGCCTCCAGGGGGGAAGCCAAGGAAGGATAAGAATATGCTGTTTTGAGGTTCCAAGCGCATACAGGAAACCTCAAGCAGTCTAAAGGCTCGCCGACTCCACCGACGGGGGTATTACACCCCGGACAACCATGAATATCTGACTATATATCTCCACCAGAACCAACGAAACGGACATGACAGTACCATATGGCCCTTGCAAAGGCCGAACCAGCCATCGCCAGCGATGACTGGTTCGGCGGTCCTGTGAAGACTGATTTTATACCCTCGTGGCAGAGACTGCCTAGGTACAGACCCTAACCAGTAGCTTCCTAGAGTTTACCTGAGTCGTGGTTTACCTGAGTCGGAGTTTACCTGAGTCGTGGTACCCCGGGAGGCAGTGAGAGGAACATACGTATATAAATGCATATAGACATTTAGATTATTTATTATTTAATTATAGAGATATATATCTAAAACAGAGGCAGGCAAAAGTCGGTCCTCGGCCGAGTGCTGAGCTTCTGATTGCTTAATGTGTTCCGTTATAAAATCCAGTGCAGAGACAATTTCTTCTTTTTCCTGCCCAATTTTCTATACAAACTATCTAAATCAGCAGCACCAGTGCGCATCTGTTGTTACAGTGTATATTCACATAATTACAAATAATTATTCTAGTCGTACAGTTTAATTTAAGAAGAAAGTTTCTAGAAATTCTAGAAAAAATTCTAGAAATCTAGAATTCTAGAAAGTTTGTGCATCCGCCGAAGAATTTAGTAATGTCATTTCTAGCAGCTTTAATTTAGAAATTTATGAATTGAGATAAAAAGAATGATTAGATTTAAAGAACTAGTTAAATAATAAGAATAAATAAAAATAGATAGATAGAATAATATACAGGAGAATTAAAAAAAATGTAGAATGAATAGACAAAAATACATAAAATTATCTAGAAGAATAGATAAAAAAGAAATAGTTGAGATCGGAAAAGGGAGTTTAAAACATTTCAACTCTTAAATTTTTATTTGAAAATTAAATTACGTATTTATGAATCATCTAATGATTAATCGGAACAGATCCCGTTGGGGGGTACTATTTGCAATTTATTTTGAAAAAAAATGTAATTTTTAAAATTGTAATTGTAATGTTTTAACCCAAAAGTCTCGAACGCGATTTTGCGTTGTTTCAATTTTTAATCCTGTATTAAAAAATATATAACCAATGAAACTATAAAACTGATGAAAAGAACTAAGCTATTTAAAAGCAATGGATGGATTTCTTAAGAACAGTTTTTTTTAAAACTTCTGAATCTAAATTAGCTAAATAAAATTTCATTTAATTCATGATATAACTAATTAAATAACATAATACATGCTTATGGAATTACGTTATATAACTTTTCACTTTTCATATTTCAAATGTACAGATTTTCTATAACGTTCCCATGTTAGTCTAAATGCATATTCTTCTAGTATTTTACGAAATGTTTCGCTGTTCCACCCGGACCATCTCTATCGATAATCTCTACTGTGTAAACCACGTAACGTTAAAAAAAACTTTTTATTATGATCCAATTTATGATGATGCCAATTTGAACCTTTTCAAACATTTCTTATTATTTTCTTTTTTCTTTGAATTGTGTCTCTTCAAGGAATTATCTGCTGCATTTGGTTTTTAAATTTTTACAAGGAAGGGCTGTTTTTACCCCTCCCATTACGTTCTTCAAACAATAAGAGAATTGCAAAAGATCGTCACTGCTTTGCCCCCATGATGCCTTAAAAGAGACCTTTTTGCCTCGCGATCAAAAGTATTTGCCCATGCTAGTAAATAACATAAATATATTTTGGGACATACAATATACTTTATTTATTTATATATATATAATAAATTTTGGACGCAAAGTGTAATGGGATAATGATTTCATTTTATTTGCCTTAGAAAGTGTTATGAAAAATAAAAATAATAAGAAGAAGAAAAAGGAAAAATACACACACATACACTAAGAGTTCCATAAAAAACCGTTATAGACATGAAGGTTTTTCGGTGTCGATTAACTCTAGAATAATCATTTTCTAAAAATAATCATTCTAGAAGAATCCACGACTTCAGTTTCCAACAAACACTTAAAAGTACTCAATAATTCTGCAACAAATTCTGCTTACAAAGTGGTTGGTTACTTTAATAATTCTAGCTATCTAGTTGCCTTTCCCACATCTAAAACTACATTCACCCGTCAATTTGCCCGCTTCCTTGCCCTAAAGCATTACTGGGATTTTACGGTAATTTCGAAGTCCATTTTCCCGCCGTTAAGTAAAGCGCACTAGAAACTCACTATATTTGCATATACTTAATCTCTTGCTTTTACCCATAATCCTTTGCCTGCTTCCACCAGAGCAACACACAAGCCAACTAGTTATACCCGAGAACTTAGTTTATCAGCAGATTTGCGAATTGCCAGTTAAAATCCATTTAAGCTATTAACTAATATAATCTCTTCTTTGTTGAAGCAGGCCGACTAATGGTACGGAGCTCGTAATTTTGGGAGTAATGATGGCTCGCTTTTCTAAATCGAACTAATTCTTCCACGAAGGTCATTATAAACGGGGAAGAATTATTCACGTTTCGAAAAGCGAGTAGCTCCTCCGCACGTCCAAAAAGAAGCGATGAAAAAAAGAAAAATAATAATGTGTCAGTGAAAGTTAGCCTTTCATTGGCTTTTGTAAAGGAAATCAGAGGAAAGTTAATTAATATCGTCTATAATGGGGTTCGCTATGCACGGAACTCAGTTAAAAGGATTTTCTTTGAGTTGCATTAGTTTCAAAGGTTAAAAGGCTTTCAATGATTTTGTAAGAGGTGCCTTGCCAGATTATGAAGAGGAATTTCTATGACGTTATTATGTGGAAGAAAAACTAAGAAATCTCCCGAACAGTCAGCTCCTTTTGAAGGAGTTATTTATTGAGGAATATGAGAGGAAGTATAATTAAAGAAGTGCATTGCTTAGTGAATTTTCTAAACTTACCGGACTGAAGAATTTACGGGAAATTATATTTGAGACTGCTTCAAAACCATTTAAATTTCCTGGCATTATTTCTCTTGAATATGTACGATTAGTTAGGAAGTGGTTTGTTCAAAGAGTAAATTCCTGCTTACAGAAAAGATGAAAAAGTAAAATTCACGTGCGTAGTTCGAAATTAAACTATTTGAATTTTTT